AATGTGCTCAAGCACACAAGTGAAAGCGTGTGGGAAGTGCCATGACAAATGTGTCAGTACCACAACAGCATCGCGACAACAGAGGGAAGGGTAAAGGGACAATAATAAAAGAATGAAAACTACTGCATGAAAAAAATCTTGGAATTTTGAATTCCAAAATTTGAATTTTACATTTTAGATTTCGAATGCCTAAAAGCTTTGAATTTACCAGAATTCTACCATCCTTATCAAGAAGCGATTTCAAGTGTTCTAGTCTTCCCGTCCAGAATATCACTGTCAATATTATCTCCTTTCCTGCATGCAAATGCCATCCTGTGATGCTCCCCATGAAGTTCAAGGCAGCTGCATCTGAATATTTCACCTTTGCATTTTCTTTTTCATTTGGTCCCCTCTTTTCTCAATAGGAGAAAGATTTTAGTTGAGCAAGACAGATGGAGAAAGGCTTTGGAATTTGGGGGTCATGTTGTTTAGATACGGGCGAACTTTTACAAAAAAAAACCCTACCTAAAATTCCTGACTTTCCATAGTACTTAAACATATCTGCAGCAATTTTATAGGCTCCTGCTTCTCTCCCCAGCTCATTAATCTTGGTTGAAAGCTTGCTGCCCTGGTCTAAATCTCGTAAATTGTGTATGTGCTTTGATCAACCTGGAACAAAAGAACCCACACATATGACATGTCCATATGTGATAACACACTGAGGTGATTGGACCTGTTCCCAGGATCTGTTTATTCTCGTCTGTGTGATGAATTTGATGCACTTTTCTTTCTTAACCGGGCTGGAGCGATAGCACAGCGGGTAGGGCGTCTGCCTTGCACGCAGCCAACATGGCCGACCCGAGTTTGATTCCTCCACCCCTCTCGGAGAGCCCGGCAAGCTACTGAGAGTATTCGATATGCCAGACACAGTAACAACAAAGTCTCCAATGGAGACGTTACTGGGCCCGCTCGAGCAAATCGACGATCAACGGGAAGGCCTTTACTTACTTACTTCTTTCTTAACCAGGTAAGTGCAATTACAAGGTCTCTTATGATGATCTTAGGTGCAGTTCTGATAGAGAAAAACAAAATAAATCCTGTAACTCTTACCCTCCTCCAAAATTCAAATGTGACACAGGGAGGAGAAGGCATTTTGCAGACTTCCAGAGCCAAAACATTCCCAAGATGGAGAAAACATGTAGTAGAAGGTTCTACAGGGGTGACAGCTCTGCTTTACAGTCACAGAGACTCCTGACATCGACACTCCTGGGTTCAAGCAAAAGTCACTGAAATAGCCCAAGAGATTAGCTGTGATCCCACTTAAAGAGGGGCTGGAGGGATAGTACAGCAGGTGGGGCATTTGCCTTGCATGTGACTGACCTGGGTTTGGTCCCCAGCATCCCATATGGTCCCCTGAGCACGGCCAAGAGTGATTCTTGAATGCAAAGCCAGGAGTAACCCCTGTGTATCACTGGGTGTGGCTCAAATACCAAAACCAAAAAACAAACAACAGAAAACCCTCCTCCATAAAAAAATCAATTTAGTTTATTATTATTGTTATTTTGATTTTGGGATCATGCCTTGGATTAAATGTTGGGATTTACAAAAATTTTCCACCATACGCGCGCGTGCGCACGCGCGTGTGTGTGTGTGTGTGTGTGTGTGTGTGTGTGTGTGTGTGTGTGTTGGGCTTACACCTCACGGTTTACTCCTGGTTCTGGGCTCCGGGATCACTCCCAGGCAGTGCTTGAGGGATCATATTTGGTAGAAGGAACCAAACCTGGGTAGACTATGTGCAAGACAATCATCTCACTCACTGTGGACTTTCAATCTAGTCCCCACCATAAAAATAAAAATTTTTAGAAAATTCCAGATTTTAAGTTGAGGGCAAAGCAAAGATGAATGAGCTTCTGGTGACGCCTGTAAGACACTGGGGTTCAGCTAAGCTTCAGCCCCCAACTCCTCCAAATTCCTTGCTGCTTCTCAGATTCAGTCTGGCCCTTTTATTCCTAGTCCTCAACTAGAAATGATGGGCAACTTGGAAATAATTGCTGAGGCTCCCTTCTCCACCCTCTCCTTACTATCCCCCATCTCCCCTGCCCTGACTAAGAAATCTCCAACTTCTTTAGTTGAAACATAAAATTGCCACTTTGAGTCACTGGTGTCCGTGAAACAACACCCTCACTGATACTGAACAAAGCAATGTGCCCACTTCTCAGACCCTCATCAATTTTCTCATCAAGGATCTTCAACTCTCCTCTGGGCCTCTCGTACTCCTTCCTAAACATGATTTTGCCCCGAGTGGTATCTTGCAAACAATCTTTTAATTCACAGAAACGCCATGTGACACACTTCTGCTTAAAAGCCTTTGGATGGAAAGTACACTCTCCTTCAAAGGAGTTCACCAAGGATCCGCTTGGGCCTGGCTTCCTTCTACTGTACCTCCCATCACTCCTGGACTCGGGTCTGGCATTCTGCTGTTTGGTGGTGCCTGAAGAGATAACACAATTTGGCCTGTTTTCTGGAATGCTCTATTCTCCAAATCTCCATGCTCTCTGATTCTTACTCAACATTCAAATTCATCTCACTTATGATACGCTCCAGGAATTCTTCACTCTCCACACACCCTCTGGTCTGAGGAAGAATTTCTCGTATAGCTTTTGCTTATGTTCAGAGCAAGATCATATTCAACACAGGTTCTGTTCCTTACTATACATATGGAAATCAAATAAAGTATCCAATTATTTGTGCATCTTCAGAATCCAGCACAGTGCCTGGCACAGAGCACGTGTTTAATAAATGTGTGACAAAGCAGCAAATGAATGAACACATGACGGTTGGGAAGGGCCTGTGTCATTTAAAAGTGAAGTCTGGGATTCGTGCATTTCTCTAAAAGGTCAACATTTGAAATTACCGGTGAAAAAACATTTCAAAGCCCACTTCCCCCAACCGCTGCACTACTGACTCATCCACTGGCCTTCCTCTGCTGAATCATGACTAAATCTCCGAGGAAATGCACACCAAGTAGCTAAAATTCATGGAAACACTGGTCCTAGAAGCTGAAACTTCTGGGATGCCCTCAAGAGACCAGTGGGACGACCCTGCTGCAGTCACACCAAGGACTCGACTCCACTGCTTCGTGAATATTCCCTGCAGAGGCGCCAAACTGAAAAATTTCAGTTACTTGGTGCCCTGGCTGAGAGATCTGGGTCTTCTCAGAGTTAAGGTGGGCAGACTCCCCCACCGAGCCCCACACTTTCAACTGTAATCCCCACTTCCCACAGCTGCTGCCAATGTCCACTCACTGATCCAGATCATGGACCATGTGGCCACGGATGCCTCCTAATTTCTCAATACTGACTGAAATTCCAGTAGGAGCACACCAAATTAATTGGATAAGAAAACAACACAGAAGACAGCTCAACTCAACAAACAAAAACAATAAAATAGAAGGTGCAACCAGCAGCAAACAGCTTAGTAAATTCTTAGACCAGGACTTCACAACCCCAGGATGAGATATAACAATTTTTACATTAAAATGACTTTATAATACTTACTGATTTTAATATTGGAGTTTTGTTATCTAATCAATACTAATCTTTTTTTTTTTGCTTTTTGGGTCACGCCCAGCTATGCATAGGGGTTACTCCTGGTTCATGCACTCAGGAATTAGTCCTGGAAATGCTAGGGAGACCATATGGGATGCTGGGAATCAAACCCGGGTTGGGCTGCGTGCAAAGCAAATGCCCTACCCATTGTGCTATCACTCCAGCCCCAATTCTAATCAATTTTAACTCTAGAATTGCATCAACAGTTGTGGCTTTTGTCTACATTTAAATAAGTTTAAAATTTTTTTTAATTTAAAAATTTTAATAAAAATGAGTATACTATTCTCTATTCAATGAAAGATTTTCAATACTAGACACCACTTCATTTAAAATCTTTACTTCATCTAATAGGTCTAAGTAGTAAAACGTTTACTTAGTCCAATAGGACACCTTTTTTTGATGTACCCATTTTTGCTGATTTTACAGGGGCCTGCTCTTCTAGAGCTAGGGTCCTCCAGAATTGACAAGTCCCATACCTCTTTATTCTAATGGTCCTCTACTGGCCTTAAAAAATTAATGCTTCTCCTCAATCACGTAATTGACTATCAAAGAGGGCTCTGGACATTAGAGAGAACAGAGTTCATTAAAAATTAAATTTTTCCAATCTCCTTATATAAACATTTATTTATAAATTATGCCCCAGCATAAAAATTTTAGGATCTGTGTGCAGAAGGAATTGAAATGGAAGTCATCAGAAAGGCTCTATCTTCTCTCTCCAGCTAGGGACTGTCCATCCTCAACACAATTGGCAGAGACCAGCCTATAATATATCCTGAGTCAAGACACAATCTTCTCCAAGGCATCCTGACCGTGTAGCCTTAGGACTCAGTCCCAAAATTTTAATCTGAAGATTTTCCCTGGTTCAAAACTTAAACATTACAAGGATTTTCCCTTTTATGCGTTAATATGAACTGTGTCTTCAGTCATGTAGAAACATTCGCTGGCTGAGAACAGCCCACATATTGACCATTTGGTCTTCATCCTCGATGGACTCACACACAGAAACCCATATCAGATGGGCTCTGACTAGCTGAACCCTAGCTCCTTCTCGAGGAATTTGTTTTGACCTCCTCCACACAAGGCATTATGGACATTCTACTTCTCCCTCCTCTAGACCCTGACAATCTTCACACTCTGTTAGTACTTGAGTCATTGGTTCTTCAACTGAAATAGCCAAAGGATTGCTGTGTCCCCTAAACAGTTCAATGCACTATGCTCAGTGGGCTCAGGTAAATATTGACTAGTGTGACCTGGCCGTGTTAGGAAACGCCTGGCAGTCATGAGAGCTGTTACTTCAGATCCAAAAGTAACCAACGGCCAAGGACAGGTACCAGCACCAGCATCTTCTTAAACTTGAGATGAGGAAGCTTTCCCTTTGGCCCTGATTTCTCAGGCTTTGGTGGTCCCACTCACCAGCACAGTAGCCCGTGATGTTGACGAACTGTTTTTCCTTGCAGTTGGTCTGGCAGCTCCCAGCAGTCAGAGTGGCGTGAGGGTGACAGGAAATACAGTCAGATTCCAACGGCCCCTGGCACTGCCTGCAGGTCGGGTGGCATTCTAAGAGGGGAAACAGGAGTCAGAAGTGACTCTATTAGCTCAGCTGAAACTAGCAGGTCAGTGTAGGACAGACTTAACACACTCCACAGATGACAGTGAGAGCAGACCCCGCAGAGCGACCCTCCTTTAGATACGCTCAGCAAGCCTGGCAAAGACTGAGATCAGAGCAAAATACTGCATCTCTGCTGCCAAGAGCAGAACCTAGAATGCGCAGGACCTTGAAAAGCAGAGAAATGGGCCTCCCATTCCAAACTGGTCAGCAGGGCCATCCCCATCTCTAAATCAAGTCGAGATCAAAGTCCTAAGACGGAAGCGTGGTGAGACCCAAGTCCCCTCCTGAAACAATGCCACGACAGAAAGAGAGTAAGACAGTGAGCAGAGGGGCACAGGGCTTCTCAGAAATTCTTGGCAGGTCCAGGGGAAACCAGACACAGTCCAGGACACCAAGACTTCCCAGTCAGTTGCCAGCCAAGCAGAACCCCCCCGAGTAGATGCCAGCTCTAGCAGCAACGCACAATTGAAATGCAAAGTCTGGAAAAAAAAAACTATCACCACAACACACAGAAGGTGATCAGAAGCTGTTTGAAGTTCAGATGGAATTGTTTTCCCTAGAAAAATTAATAAGAGGCACTGCCCTGAAAAAAGAAAAACCCAGTGAGTCACAGTAGGTATAGGCTATCGAGAGAAGGATGGCAAGATATAAAAGAAGCTGCAGCTGTAGTTACACGCAGGCTGCCAAGGTGGGTAGCAGGAAGGAGCCAGCGTGTGGAAGGAGATTTAAGGATTTGTCTGCCAAGGACGAGGAGGGTTAAGCTGATTCCAAGGCAGGGGAGCGGGGGAAGGGGGCTCGAAGCTGGGAAGAGCTCGCTGGAACTGATGACATAAAAATCCCTTCTGGCTCAGAGTTGGTGGAGCACAGGCGCGGATTTCGAGTCAAGTCAACTGCCTCTCACTTCTTCTGGAGAGAAGCCAAGAGAAGATAAGGAATTTTGAAAACACGTTTAAAAAAAGCAAGCAAGAAAATGAACTGCTGATTAGAAGGCTAACCTTAACTCTCACCCCCTTCTGCATTCCTGGCCTCTGCACATCCAAAGCGGTTGTCTAAAAGATACTAGAGTTGGCAGGCTGGTCTCCACCACCCACGTCTTCCTGAATATTTCCAGTGACCTGGGCACCCTGCGGGGTGTGGTACGAGCCATGTGCTGGCGTCCGCGGGTAGCAGCTGAGTGGGAAGGGTTAGAGCTTCTTGCTCTCTCTTTTCCCCCCAGTGAAGTCACACACACCCAGACCAACTGGCCCAGGGTGAAAGAACATACGAGCAGAAGGAAGACAACCCCAAGGACAAAGAAACCAAGCCGAGCTGGAGTATGCCTGAAGCAACTCATCTAAAGCCTAAAAAGATGAAAGAGGTTCTTGGGAAAACAAAATTCCAAAGGAAATAAAATACTGATCTTCAGTTCTCTAGATTTGCATCCCCAATTAAGTTTCCTCTTTGGAGGTTGAGGCTAGATGAGTCTAACAAGTGTTAATTTATTTTTAAAATAGTAGATATTTACAGTCTGTCTCTGCATGCATTACAATGGACTTTCCCCTCTCAGTTCACCTCAGTAGTTTGTTTTCTAGAAAGAAACTAGCAATCATGATAGAAAGTGTTCCGTTTTCCCTGTATTTTTTTCCCCCTGCAGATACAAGAAAACACAGTGCTACAGTAAGGTGGTTAAATTTTAGCATTTTGTCAATTGCAATAAAACCCTGCACGAATCTCAACTAGTAATTTCTAGGATCTCTGGTTCTGAAATTTAAAGGTGGTCTTGAAATTTCACAAAATTGACATAACAAAGACAATAAACATTTCTCTCTCCCCTTCTGCTTTATTAGACGAGAATCAGGGAAAGCAGAGCTGGGAAGTGGAGTTGCCAGCAAACGCCAGGTCCTATAAAAATGTTTTTGCCCTCTGCTTAGTCTCTGCAGATTGCCATCAAGCCCACCCCTCACTACACACACAGACCAAGTCAAAGCTAATTTTTCACTTTGCCTGTTTTACCCCTTAGGAAGACCAGGATTCGTTTTTGCTCATTCTGTGCCATTACTCCTACAAGTTCAAGGCAAGACTTGATAGCCCAAATGTCACCACCCGGTTTGGCACAGTTTTTAATGACAGTGTTTGGCTGCCTTAGGACGCCAGAGCACGGGCGGAGACTGTGTCTGGGCATGTTCCATGCTCACCTGTGCAAGCTCTTTCCTGGGTGAAGAATCCATCTGGGCAGCGGGCGAGGCAGCGGCCATCCAGCAGTGCCCGGGAGGGCTGGCAGACAGTGCAGTTGTGTGGACTCCTGCCGGCACACTCCACACAGGACTGGTGGCAAGCTGGGGGAAGCAAGAGCAGAGCAGAAAGTGAGAAAAGGCACCGGTGACAGTGACAGGGACTCTGCCTCTGCCGTTAGCTCTCCTGGTGAGGAGGCATTCCTGTAAGCGCTGAACTTCCAGCATTTCCCCATGTGGGCAGTGCCACCCTCAGGAGGGTTGGATGCTACCAGTTGGAGCAGTAGGCCCAGGTGAAACTGGAGGTTGCTTTTTGTTTGTCCCCTTAAAGAAAGTAGATTTCTACTACTTGTAGAAATAGTGGCGGGGGGGGGGGGGGATGCAGAGTTATTTGTTCAGGGGTTGGTAAACCAGAGATGTTTGGGACCTTTTGTGAGCTCTGCGTGAAGCAGGGTACTAGGGTGAAGTAAGATGGCAGGCTATGCTAGGGCTAGAGTACCCCCCCCCCCATGGGCTAGTACTTTAGCAACCAGTGTCGCAATAATAGCCGAGATCAGTACCAGGAGGATTAATTACTCCATGGCTTAGAGGCCAGCTGAACATTCTAGGGGAAAGGGCAGCTCAGATAGAGAAGGGAGCACCAAATAAAAGGGTGTTTGGAGGATCCTCCCAGGAGGGGAGATGCATGTTGAAAGTAGACTATGGACCGAACATGATTGCCACTCAATGCCTCTTTTGCAGACCAAAACACCCAAAAGGAGAGAGAGAACAAAAGGGAATGCCCTGCCACAGAGGCAGGGTGGGATGGGGGGGGGGGATGGGAGGTGGGAGGGATACTGGGACCCGTGGTGGTGGAGAATGGGCACTGGTGGAGGGATGGGTATTTGATCATTGTGTAATCGAAACCCAAGTACAAAAATTTGTAAGTCTATAACTGTACCTCATGGTGTTTCACTAATAAAAATTAATTAAAAAATGGTTATTATTATACAATAGTCCAGTTCATTCTGAGACTTCCCGTTAACTCACACGGTCCTTTCTGAAGGGCAAAGCCACAAAGCCAGGCTCTGTAGGCCCAGCCCAAGTCAGGTATACATGCCACAAAACAGAAATGAGCATCAGCAGATGCAGCTATGTCTTCTCACCTTCCCTTCCTCCTTCCTTCCTTCCTTCCTTCCTTCCTTCCTTCCTTCCTTCCTTCCTTCCTTCCTTCCTCTTTCTTGCTTTCTTGCTTTCCTGTTTTTGTGCCATAGCCAGCTGGGCTCAGGGATCACTCCTAGTAGTTTTGGGGAAACAGCAGGCATACAAGGAAAGAGTTCTTAACCCCTTTACTATTTCCCAACCCTTTAGACATCTAGTCCCTGGGTCTTGGCCGGAGTAGCTTTCCCCGGATCAGCGAGTGCCTGAAGAGAGGAAGGGACTAGCCCGGGAGAGCATCTTTCATGCCTGAGCCAAGCAGCCCAGCCCAGCTCACATGACCTCCTCAGGAATCTAAATTCAAGGCCACTAGAGGGGGAGCAAAGAACTGGTAGTAGCCCCTCCCTAAGCACTGAAATGATTCTAACTCCTCACTGGAAGTACCTTTCCTCTGCTTTGTTTTCACAATAAAAGCTCTTTTATTTTTTAAAATTTTTTAATCTATTTATTTATTTATTTTAACCTTTTTCGGTGCTGCTTCTGCTGCCCAACTAACACCGCTGCTCCCTGGGGTGTCCGCTACCTGGTGGATGTGTCCTTAGCACCTGTGACTGTCTCTCCCAGGTAATTCTTCTTGGATCCCTTGGCCTGCCCCTGCCTCACTGATCACACTTCCATTTGCAGCAGCTCCTACTCATCTTTCAATCATTCTCTTATCCATTCATTATGAAACTTCAGGTCCTTCTAGGAGCCAGGGACACAACATTATATAGGACAAAGTCTGGTCCACACGGCTGTGTTTAATGCTACCAAGATCCACCAACTGCAGAGATGCCACTCCAAGTCTCCTCTTCGCCTTCTCTGCCCTCTTAATAAATACCTAAAAGTCCTGGAGCTTAGAAGAACCAAACAGGATATTATAACATCAAGTCTTCCAACAACAACAAATATATATATATATACATATAGTCTTTGATATACAGTAACAACGAATCTCACAATGGAGACGTTACTGGGCCTGCTCGAACAAATCGATGAACAATGGGAGGACAGTGCTACAATGCACATATACCCAGGGCTGACATAATCCAGGATGCCCTGGACTATTGCATAATAAAAACCATTATTGTTACACTGGTTGCTAAAGTGCTAGCCAATGAGCATATGGCTGGCACATGACTGCTCTAATTCTAGCATAGCCTGCAATCTTGCTTCTCCCTAGTACCCTGCCTCACCCATAGCATACAGGGGTTCCCAAACTTCTTTGGCCTATGAATCCCTTAACAAAATAACTCTGCATCCCCTCCAAATCTAACTTCTTTAAGGAGGCAAGGAGAAAGCAGCCTCCAATTTCACCTGAGCCTACTGCTATACCTGGTAGCATCTGAGTCTTCCGAGGGTGGCACTACCCACTTGGGGAAACGCTGAAAGTTCAGCGTTTATGGGTTAAGTATCTGATCAATATGAATAGCCCTGCAGGCCGTTTCTCTCCATTTTCATTGGGCAGTATCCTGCCGTACGGGTGGATAAATATTTTATCATCTGGATATAATATAAAGTTTTATGTCATTCAACAGCACTTTGCTGCTACATTAAAAATAGGACTACAGGGGTCAGAAACATAACTCAGAGGACGAGGATGCACGCCCTGCTTGCAAAACCCCCAGGTCTGCATGATCCCCCAAATGCAGCCAGGAGTGACCTCAGGGCACCACTGGATGGATATGGCCCCCAAACCAGAAAAAAATAGAGCTAGAACCCTAATTTTAAAGTGATTTCTTTTTTTAAAACATTGCCCTGTTAATAGCTTTATTAGCATGAGTTATAGTTGAGAATTTTTCCCCAAGTATTTTTAGAATAACTGAGAAAACTTATTTTTAAGCACATATTATAAAAGAAGAGTTCACAGCCCATTAAGTCATGCTTAATGCAGAATGAAAAAGATGCAATGAAAAGTCAGGTGGCAATATCTGAAGAAACAGCTATATTATATCATCAGCACAAAGCATTTCAGGATGGTCTGGGGAAGTATGCATGGCCTAGATAGCTAAACATTCTCCTGGTAATACCAATATATTTACATAGGAGTTCGACAAGATTCATCCACCAGAAGTGGATGAGAGTTCCTTTCTCATCACATCCTTGCCAACATGATTGTTTCCAATCCTTTTGAGATGTGCCATCTCACTGTTGTAAGATCATTGTCATCTCGATTTGGATTTCCCTACTAGTAAGTGATGATGAGCAATTTTTCAAGTGCCTTTTGGCCATCCATTGGTCTTCCTCAGAAGTATCTGTTGATTTCCTCTTCCCAGTTTTTGATGAGGCCTAGATCTTCCTCTTGTGTCTTTCTATTAGGAAATTAAAGATTATCCCTCCAGAATTGAAAATTGAGAAGTTTATGAACTTTATTTGTTATTTTATTTCCTTACATTTGGTTACAAAGTTAATCATTTTGGCTCAATATAAATCAAGGTAGCTATTAAATTATGTATAAAAGCAAAGAGGAGACAAACTTGCTGAAGGCCGATGAGCCAAAATTTCCAGGAGGAGGAAACTCCTTTGTCACCTACTAGATTTTAGAAATCGGCCTCCCCAAAAAGTTGCATTCAAAACTGCTTTGACTGGAAATGTTTAAGAACCAAGTAGGCAACAAGCCAACTAGCTACCAGGTGGCACACAGGAGAATCTTCCTTTAAAAGTGCTCTTTCTTGTCATCGTGGTCCCATCTCTATCCCAACTGCCTTCTCTCCCCAGCACAAGATTATCTGATGCAGGTATGAGCCAGCGGTGATGGGGCAACTGCAGTCTCATGGGAAGGGGGCGGTACCGGCTTGTCCTTCATGCCCTACCGAGGTCATGAGTTGCCCCCCACAAGCGGCTCTCCGGCACAGCCATAACACCAGAAGCACAGAAACCAATCTCGTAATTATCTGGCTCTTGGCAGAAATCCCTCCAGATTTACCTAGTAAAATATCAGAAATCCAAAATTCCGTAGCCACTATTGCGGCTGCACGACATCATATGGTTCTCATAACCAGCTATAGAAAACAAATTATTTCACAATGCCTTTTCAGCAGTTCTGATTGTTGGGTGGAAATTCTAAACAATAATGGTGTATCTTTTGTCGAAATAATGAATGTAATCAAAGTAGAGAGAGAGTTAAGTAGAAATCATCTGCCTTACAGGCATTGGGAGGGCTGGGAGGGGGGTACATTGGGGTTCTTGGTGGTGAAAGATAAGTACTGGTGAAGGGAAAGGTGTTTGATCATTGTATGACCGAAACTTAATCTTGAAAGCTTTGTAACTTTTCTCACAGTGATTCAATAAATAAATATAACCAAAAATTCAAAAAAAAAAGATTATCTGGCGCCAGCCAGCCCAGTGGTGGCTTATGGGTGTGGCTGCTGAGTTGTCAAGGGAGCATAACACTTCATTGGACACACCCTATGCATAGTCCAAGAGTACTGCATCACATTTGATGGGATTCAAATTAGGAGGCAACCAACCTTAGAGGGAAATATTATATTATTTCAGTTCTGCTTTGGGGCAGGGATTGGAGTTCTGGATGTAAACACCTGAAATATGGTGGTGAAAAAATAGGGTAGTGGGATTGGTATTGGAGTATTAAATGTAATCAAATACTGTGAACTACTTTATAAAATAAAAAAGTTTTTAAAAAATTAAAAATAAAATTTAAAAAAAAGAACTGCATGCTGAAAGGCAAAGGAACAAACATGATAACCTCTCAGCACCTATGTTGCAAACCCTAGTGACCAAAGGGAGAGAGAGCAAGAGAAAAAAGAAAAGTGCCTGCCATAGACACGGGTGGAGGGGGGGGAAGGGGAGGATGGCAGGAGGGAAACTGTGACATTGGTGGTGGTGGGAAATGTACACAGGAGAAGGGATGGGTGCTGAACAGGTGTTGGAACATTGTCTGACTGAAACCCAATCATGACCAGCTCTGA